CTGTGTCTGTACCAATGCAAACCTATAGCATGGACCAGATAAGCCACAGTTTGCACTATAATCTAGCCTGTTTTCATGCAACCAGGGTTAAAATGCAACCAGTGCGGGTAGTAATTTGGCCTGCTTGTTTTGCACAAGTTCATTTATTAGTGATGGCTGGCTGCTACAATTACCTAGTCTGAATAAGGCCTAAGAATTGTAGAACATTACCATAGCCTCTCAATTCTGATTTGAGTAATGCATTTTCGGTACAACTGACGTGTAATTTTTCATGATTGGTCTACTGTGTTTTATCTTTGTAAACTTTGCACGCCCTCCCTGTATACTGTTGATACTGTTTTTCCAGGGAGTTCACTGGTGGTATGCTGCTTTGAAACAGTGTTATTACTGCATTTTCTTATGTTTGACAAAGAGGAGAGTGTTTGTGTTGCAAGGCCTAAGGCATCTATTTGTTTCGAGATTAAGAAAAGGAAACTGTATTCCTGTGGTCAGGGCTTCAAAAGCATTCATCTGGTGACTAAGCCCTTGCCTATGTTACGCAGTTCTGCCAGTAGAGCTATGTCATTTAAGTCCACAAAAAGATCGTACCTTACCACTGATGTAGTTATATGGGCGGAGCCACCAGGGTGGACACGGCCCTGGTAGCCAAAGACAGCCTGCTGCCAGAGCTTTTGTCTTTTGGGGGCTGTGGCGCAGCTCTGGCAGCAGAAAAATTGCTTCTACTGACAAACCTGTATCCACACCTGGGAGCCTGTCTGTCTCAGTACTGTCGCTGCAGTGAAAGTAGCTATAGCCTTTGAAGTGCAGATGTAGCCTAAGTGGAAATCTGGCTCTAGCTAATGCAGAGACTTATCCTCTTAAATTTTACAGAATGTCTGGTTATTTTCTTTATTTCTTACCCTGATGTAGATTGAGAGAACTCCCCACATCCCATTGCCAAACGTGAAAGTGTTCACTGGTACAGGTTCCTTGCAGTTTCTTTTCATGGAGTTGTCATTTTGTGAAGGGCAGACCCACTCTCTGTGTCAGGCAGGAGGTGGGGCAGGGTGGCACTAAAGAGTGACTGGTTCAGAGAAGCATGAACCTTCATGGGCAAGAACCAACTTTTGTCTGGTATTATAGATTTCATAGACATTAGGGCTGGAAGGGACCTTGGAAGAACATTAAGTCCAGTCCCCCATCCAAAGGGCAGGAAGTCAGCTGGGGTCACAGGATCCCAGCAAGATCTTACAGGCTGTGGCTTCCAAATTCTCATGCCTCTCTGAACCAGTCTTAAGGTACCACGTGGCCTGGTGTCAGAATAACACCCCCTCCCCCCCCCGTCACCCTTAGCTCTGCCAGCAGCGTCAGTGGGACTGACATGGGTGGATGAGTTGTACTTGCTGTTCAGGGAGCAGTGACACTTAGGAGGATTGCCATCTTCATTGCTTGTGTGAGGAAGGTTTTGAGCAGCAAGAAGCGAAAGTAGGCATTGGAGTTCCCCACAGGAGAGGAAACTACAAACACACCGAGTGCTGGAAAAGTAATGGAGACTCATTCCTGACACAAACCAGCTCTTACCTCCCAGCTGCTGGTGTTTGAAGGGGTTGGGGGGAGTTCTTGATTTCATAGAAAAAGTGGTGGAATCTCCATCCTTGGAGGTTTTTACGACCAGGCTAGACAAAGCCTTGCTTGGGATGATCTAGTTGGGAATGGGCCTGTTTTGAGCAGGAGGGTGGACTAGATGACCTCCTGAGGTCCCTTTTGACCCTAATTTTCTATGATTCAGTGCTTGGTCTAAACACAACAGTGCCCCCTTAACTAAAAGCATTAATTTTGGTGAACAGGAATAACTTCAGTGTCTAAGATGTCTTATGAGCAAGAACTTGTGTTTCATCCCTGCCAGATCAGCCTTGTTGAGATCTCCGAGCCCTCCCTGAAAATAGAATTGAGGAGCTGGGAGTTGGGCTGCCTCTGGCCTTGCTAAATGGACTCCTGGCCTGCCTCCGCTTATTGTCTTCTGGTGCCTGTGACCCTGGGCCTCCATTGGGCCAAGTGTTATATCACCAGAACAATACCTTGAGCCTTGTTTGCTTCCAGCTGGTAGCCTTAGTCCTTAAGCTGCCTCCTGTCAAATTTAAGATGTAGCTGTGAGGTAAACTGAGGTTATAGATGAATGGGGTAGGAGCCTGGGGTTCATGAGGCAGGTAAAAGATGTCTGTGGCAGAATGGTTTAAGACTTGAAAATGAAGAGTTACATCTGAATTAAAGTTTTCCACTAGTGCTGAGAGCTCCCAAGCCTGGCCTTACAGGAGAGCTGGAGGTCTGCTGTTGAAAACTTCAGAGAAAATCCTTCTACCAGTTTGTTTTTTAAGTTGTTCTTTTAGTGCTTACTAATAACCTCTGGCTACAGCATTTGAGCTAAGCACTTCGTTTTCTGGCATTCACATAGGTAAAGAATTGAGTTATGCTGAGTCAAAAGTGTGAATCGTGTGCAGTTAAGACTACAAAAGAAAGTGAAGTTCGAGCTGGGCTAGCTTTGCATGTGCAGTTTTGCACTGAGAGTAAACTGAGGTCCCAGCATTTCTTCTTGAATGAATGAGGGGCATAATAGATTGACAGTATAAAACGCTGCCTGCAAAACCTGGGGGCCCAGCTTGGCGAGCTGACCTAACAACACAAAGGAAATGATAAATCTCAAGTGAACTTGATCGCACTGTACATGAATAGCATCCTTTTCTCTTTAATATCAATTTGCAGTACTTGTTTTGTTAAATTTAATGCTGATCAATGCAAACAATATGCAGCTTGACAGAGTTAATGTTGCTCTGAGAACCTGTGGTCTAATGCTATTGCTTATAGTGGAGTTTAGGTAGGGATGTATTTTTTTTCATCCTTTCTTTATTTCTTTAAATGTGTCCTGCAATGTTAACTGTGCCATTCCTCTGTATTTATTTATACTCAGGTGCTAGTGGCAACCAGAGTTAAGACTGTCATTGCAAGAGTCTGTTTCCCGTTGCTCAGTTACCTTCTAAAATATTGCCTTCAGGAAACCATAGAGAACCACCGAGGGCAAATATACAGTAAATGGAGCACAGTTCCAATGAAGTCTTTTACAAAGGTGCACATTCTTGCTGCCAAACTGCACACCTTAACCAGGCTCCTAAAAGTTTCCATGGTGGTAGCCTTAGTGCTCCCGGCAGCTAGCACATCATTGTGTGTTCTTACCATTTGAGAAGATGCAGGATGGAGAGAGGTCATGGACCAAACGTCTTTGAAATGTCCATCCACAAAAATGCTGCACTCTCTGGGGGCTTTGCCACATGTATACTTGCCATATGTGAACTGCATTTGAAGTTAACCAAGCGTTCAAGCAGTAAAACACATGCTAAATGCCATTACAATGTAGCAAAGTTAGCACTTTTCCTGCAAGGAGTATCTCCAGATTGTATCATCTAACATGCATAGAGCTAAAGTTCAACAGCTCCATGGAAGTAATACAATCAGGAGGCTCCAATGTGATGCCAAGGCTAGAGTAAAAAAAAAAGAGCATTTTGTTGGTCCCAGCCCTTGCAGCACACTGGACTCTTCAGCAACTCTGGCACTTAGGATGTGTTTTATTTAAAACATAGCATGCATTATCTTGCAACTGCTCAGAAAACTTTCTAACTCATAGTGCTGGTTACTGTGATCTAAATAAAACATGTCCTAAGTGCAACCTGTGACATAGCACACTGGAACAATGCAGTGACTGCAAACATTAGGACAGACAGTAAATACTCCATGCAGCTTCCCCCCCAAACAGTATGGTTCCACACTGACCCCTACTGAAGACTCTTTCATAATGTGACTTGACAAACAAGAAGCAAAGTGAATGAATGCTGGGCATACTCTTAATGTTGATGTTACTTGACTTTTTGGTACTTAACTGATCATTGCAGGTTTAGCTAGACCTCTATTTAGAGCTCGTGTCTGGCTGTTTAGATGTGAGTCCAGATTTTGGGAGGGGGAATGTGAGGATGTTAAATAGAGTAGAATTTGCCCATTTTTCAACCAGCAGTAGGTACAATTGCCAACTGAGTAGGAAATAAAATAGAGTAAATGGAAGAAATCTGGACAATTAGATCTGTAAGGATTCTTTCTATTTAGGGGACTTAGTAGAATAGCATACTCAGAACCAGTTGTGCTCAACCTTTTGGCCTGTGGTGGGGGGTGTGTGAGCTGGATCAGTCCCTGGGGCCTGGCACTGCCCCTTCCCTGCTCTGAGTGCTGGGTCTGGGCCCTATAGGCCTGACTCTGCCCCCTCCTGCTGCACTCCAGGATTGGGTCCCTGGGAACCAGCACTTCTCCCAACCCTCACATCCTCCTTTGTGCCAGACTTGGATCTTGGTGGCCTGCCACCAGCACCTCCCAGCCTCCTGCATGGAGCTGGAGCTTGGGGCCCAGCATTGCCCTTGCCTGGCCCGGTGTGCTGCGGTCCAGCTGCCCATCCAGTGTGCAGTCTGGACCCATGGGGAACCCTGCAGGTCAAGTGCTGTCAGGGTTGAGCTCTAAACCAGAAAGGGCTAACCACCATTAGCCCTGCACTCTCCCCAAGTGCCACTCTGTTCCCCTTCCCTTGCACCATCTGCTGCTCCGCTGTCTGTACCCCCTGACTAACCTACTGCTCTACTTGCTGCCCCATCTGCCACTGTGCTGCCTGTCCCCTCCCTGATCTCTTGAATGCAGGGCTATCCCTAGGGGTGGGCAAGTGGGGCAGCTGCCCTGGGTCCTGCTCTTTGTGGGTCTTGTGGCTGCCACACACCACCAGTTCCACAGTCTGGGCACTCACCTCTCCCTCCCCACTTGGCCCCACACAGGCTGATATGCCCCGGGCCCTGCACACCCCTAGGGATGGTTGTCTGTCTGCCACACACAGAAATGCTACCCATCCTGCAGGTTGGCCACCCCTGCTCTAAACAAAGAACAAGACCACCATTTTGCTTTGGTTGCTAAGAGTAGAATTCTCTGTATAGTTTTGGACGTTTTGTTTAGCTAAATATATTTCAACGCTAATGCAGTAACCTCCAAACAATGTGGTCAGTTTAGCAATTAGAAACAGAGATAAAGCATTATATTTAGCTAAAACTTCATCTTTTAAAAACATGTGTTCCCCTGTTCCATGACCCAAAGATAGCCATCTAGTTAGGACTTCCTTTAGCATTTCATAATACTAAAACGTATTTCATTTTATATAGAGGTTTGATATGCAAAGCTGGATCTACCTTGCAGTGTTCTGTTGACATAACTGTCGTGAGGTTTAGAAAAGATCTTGCCCTTCACCTCTAGTAGCTAGAGGGCAAAACCTTGTATGGACACAACTAAGTGGACAGAAGAGAGCTGCTGAGCCCAGAGTTAGCTACTCTAGTAATCTGAGATCCCACTCCAGTTTCAGTGGATCTTTAATGGGAGCTGGATTGGGTTTTAGGTGAATCAGCACCTGGAAATGAGAAATGAAAAGTCCTTGGAAACAAATAAGTGTTAAGTGGCAATATATTCTGTGGCTGGAAGGAAAGGCAGTCAAGGTGGTGCAGGATTGTTCGAGGAAGACTTTTGCTTGCACAGGGCTTCTTTGTTGGCTGTCTTGACTTGATTGTTTGAATAAAAAGAAGGATTTCTACTCTCTTTCCCCCTCACCACCCCTCAAAACAGAGCAGCCATGAGAAAAAAAACCACATTTATTGCGGCATCATGCAGAAGTCAGGATTTTGTATTACAGAAGGGAATAGATGTTTTCAATTCTGTAAAGCAGGAGTGGTCAACCTGCAGCATGCTTGCCACAAGTGGCATGGGCAGCCTGTGTGTGTGGCATGTGGCAGATTGTGAAGGGAACAGGCAGCCCAATGGAGAGGCACTCAGGAAGGGCTTAATTTGTGGCACATACAGCAAACACCTTGGTCCTCACTGCTGTAAAGGATTGTTAACATTTAAAAATAATTGTTCTACTGTTTTGGTTTTTTTAAGCTAATTTTAAATTAGGCACTTCAAAAAGGTGGCAAAAGTTAAGCTCCTAAATAAATGGCTTGATTATATATATTTTTCAAAATGAAGTTGGTGATTGTTACATGTTCAATACTTGTGAAAATTGGCTATTTTATACTGTTTTGTACTTTCAGGTTGTCAAAATCTAAGCTATGTGATTCTGACACTGAACTTTCTTAGACCCATCTAGAGCACAGTGTATAGAGTTTTAATGCCACAGATATTTTTTTAAACAATTTAAAAAGTTTTTTTCGCTATATTTCTGTTAAATATCAATGGTCAGATGCTACTGCCCATTGTTTAGACTAAAGATGACTGACAAAAAAGAGGAAGATCTGAGATAGTAAGGTTACCAAGTGCATGGTGCTGAGCAACTCTGTCGAAGGAACTCTAACGAACTTCAACCCGCCCCCCCCCCC